GCCCGCCCCGCGGGCTTCTAGGGCGAGCGCGCGCCCCGCCCCCGGCTCTTATTGGCTGACGGCTCTGCCCGCCCCGCGCCGCAGGCGCACTGAGCCCATCCCGAACGACAGCTCCCGGCATGCCTCTGGACCCGAGGCCTGTGCGTAGGCAATCAGACTCCGCCTCCGCCGTGGTCAGCCAATCCAAGGGGAGGCTGCTGACGTCACAGGAAGCGGGGCCAGTACGTCTCCCCATTGGCCTCTTCGCCCAGCTCCTTATTTGGTCAAAGGAGGGGGCGCGCTCGGCTGAGGGTGGCGCGCGGGCAAGAAAGCGCTGAGCTGTAGTGACTCTGCGGAACGCGGGCCAGGTCCTGCGCCCCACGTGGCCCCGCCCACCTGAGCCCATTCATGGGTCTCGCGCCTGGCTTTGCAAAATCCCCCAGGTTTCTAGAGGGGCCGTAGCCCGGTGCTTTTCTCCACCGCGGCCAGGCCTGGGACAGGCTGTTTCCAGCAGGGGCAGGTGTTCTCACCCCGCCTCGTGCATCCAGCAGCTGGGGCTTTACTGCAGGGTAGCTCGTGAGCCTTGCCCATTCTGCTGTCCGGACAGGGGGATGGGTTACTGGAGTGCTCCAGCTGTGGCTGAGGCAGAGCCAGTGGTAATGCAGTTCACGCACACACATCTCCTTGGTCACTCACCCGCTCTTGAGCTCCTTTGGACCATGAGCCATCTGTGAGGTTGGCTCCTTAAAACCTTTTAGCCACAAGTTTTCCCAGCACGGCTGTGTCTAGACTGACCAGTTTTTCCGCAAAAGCAGCCGCTTTTCCAGAAAAACTTGCCAGCTGTCTACACTGGCCGCTTGAATTTCCGCCAATTTCCATGCCAATCTAGACGCTCTTTTCCACAAATGCTTTTAATGGAAAACTTTTCTGTTAAAAGCATTTCCGGAAAATCATGTCAGTCTAGATGTAGGCCACCTGTAGGAGGATGCCAGTTCTAAGGCATCTATGTTGCAGAAACATTTTAACTTGCAGATTCTAAACCCTCGGTAAGGCCATTCTTCCGCCTAGGGCAGTGGTCACCTTGGAGCCTCTGAAAGGCTCCAGCTGCTTTTCCAGAAAAACTTGCCAGCTGTCTACACTGGCCACTTGAATTTCCGCAAAAGCACTGACTTCCTACTGTAAGAAATCAGTGCTTCTTGTGGAAAAACTATGCTGCTCCCGTTCAGGCAAAAGTTCCTTTTGCGCAAAGCTTTTGTGCAAAAGGGCCAGTGTAGACAGCTCAGATTTGTTTTCTGCAAAAAAGCCCCCATCGCGAAAATGGCGATCAGGGCTTTTTTGCGGAAAAGCGCGTGTAGATTGGCATGGACGCTTTTCCGTAAAAAGTGCTTTTGCGGAAAAGCATCCGTGCCAATCTAGATGCTTTGTTCCGAAAATGCTTTTAACGGAAAACTTTTCCGTTAAAAGCATTTCCAGAAAATCATGCCAATCTAGACACAGCCCAGATGAAGCCTAATCAGCACAGAGTAGAGGAGAAGAATGATTTCTCGTGTCTTGCTTGCAACACTCCTTTTAATACAACTCAGAATGACGTTTGCGTTTTTTGCAGCAGTACTTGTTGGCTCATTTTTACTTGAACCGGTTTTGCTCACCTTGTGATCTGAAAAACAAGTGATGCCAACTTAAACAATCCCACAATGGAACTCCACCTGATTTTAAAACCAGATTATCTGAACCAGTTAGCAAACCTCCCCAGTGTCGGAAAGAAATGCAGGGGCACTGGGGATTGTGCTAAGGAATCCTGACTTGCGTGGTGTAAGAAATGAGTGTGTTCACCATGCAGCTCTGTTAGCCCAGGCCTGTACGCAGGGAGGGGCAAAGGGCGTGAAAGCAACCCACCCCCCAAGTAAGCATGCTTCAGCAGGCCAGGGGAAGGCAGGAGCAGCACACTGCCCAAGCCTCCCTCCCCCATGCTCCAACCAGCCGGAGGTAAGGCTGGGACTGATTTC